ACTTTGCTGGTTTTTGTGTTTCTCTAGAGAACCCAATCCAACACACCATCCCATCTGTAGTATATTCTTGTCAGAGTGGCACTAGGTAACCAGAACAAATGCCCTCTCTACAACATAGTATCCAAACTAAGAAGCAGTTCAGCTTTTGCTTGAACACAAAATAGAGATTTTACTATCTCCCACTGTACTGACTTTCACTTTTGGAAAGCTTTAACTGTCAGGAACTTAAGTCAGTCTCCCTCAATTTCTTCCTATTAATCTAAAATCGTGAGCTCTGGTAGCGTAGTGCCTAAGGCACTTGACTGCTAACCAGAAGGTTGGCGGTTCAAACCCACCAGCCACACCCCCCGGAAGGAAGGCTGGGCAATCTACTTCTGTAGTGATACTGTCTTGGAAACCCAAGGAGGAGGCACTATGAGTCAGAGATGACTCAACGGCATGTAACAACAACAGCAATCTAAAATCAGCAGAGGATCCAATAGAGTACTGGATTGTCCTATGTTGCAATTACCTACCTTTGACTGCACTAAGGAAGTTCTTCAGGTCCTTGTATAGCTTGTGGCCTTCTGCCTGAAAGGGAGAAGACGCCTTTGGTTACTAAAGAGATATATTTTAAAAAATGCTTCAGAGATCGAAGTAGAAAAGTAGGTTAAAAGCAGAAATCACAAATCAATCACAAAAGATTATATGAGACCACTATTACAGAAAGTCAAAAATAGGTTTATACATAACAAGAAACATTCTTTGATGGTTACCAGGTTAGGTGTTGTTGAGCTGGCTGTGACTCATAGTGATCCTATGTACAACAGAACGAAACACTGTCCTGCACCAGCCTCAAAATCCTTGCTATAGCTGAGCCCACTGGTGCAACCACTGTGTCAATCCATCTTGTTAGCAACTGGGAAAGCACAGTTCATAAATATAATGTTATACACATCCTAGTCTGGTGAGAAGCAGCCATCCAAGAAGAAACTATGTGTCTCTTCCTGCCTACAACAAAGGAGAATGAAGAAAATGGAAGACTCAAGGAAGCAATCAGTCCAAACAACTAATGGCCCACATGAACCACAGCCTCCTCTAATCTGAGACCAGAAAAACTAGATGGTGCCCAGCTACCACTACCAACCACTCTGACCAGGACCAAAATAGAAAGTCCTGGTTAGAATGGGTAAAAGGTATAGAACAAAATTCAAATTCAAAAGATAAAAAGACCAGATTTACTGGGTCTGAAAGAAATTGGAGGAAGCCCCAAGACTACTGCCTTAAGATAACACCTAATTTGAAACTGAAGACACCTCCAGAGGCTACCTTTCAGCCAATTAAGAGGTAGACTTATAAAATAAACAATTATACTCAGAAAGAATGTCCTCCTTAGAACAATCAACTATATGAGACCAAAAGGGTAACATTTGCCCAAAACCAAAGATGAGAAGGCAGGAAGGGGCAGGGAAACAGGACAAATGGAAACAAGGAACCTAGGGAGAAATAAAGGAAGAGTGCTGACACATTGCAGGGATTATATCCAATGTCATGGAACAATGTGTGTATGAATTATTTATTGGAAAACTAATTTGCTATGCAAACTTTCACCTAAAGCACAATAAAACGTTTGTTTGTTTGTTTGTTTTAAAAAAAAGCAGAAAACACTCCTGGAATTTCTTTTAATTGCAATTGTTATAAATTAGCCTTTACTCTTTATTACCAAGTCATATATTGTCTCTTTCAAGTCAATGTTTAAGTTGGGGAGATTGCTAGAGCTCCCACAGCACTGGCATCTCTTCTTTCTTCTCTGTTCTCCTTTCCAGTGAACAATAGCTTATACCCAAGTTCCTCTGCTCCAATTTAAGTGTCCTCCATGTGCCATTGTCTATATGATACTCTATCTCCTCTCTGGATGGATAAACTGCTACCATCTTCTGCAGACACCAGGCCCTCTTCCTTCTCTGAACCTCACTGGGACAATCTTCTCCCCTCATGTCCTCTTCTGCCTTGTCTCCCCTTACTCGTCCTTTTCTGTCAGCCACCTGCTTTATTTACACTTCTCCAAGGAGCCTCACTATTGACCCTCCTTCTCTTCTAACCCCAATGTCCTTATTTATAGCTCTATCTATCTATCCATGGTTTTTGCTCCCATGTTTGAATTCTCACTTTGGGCTAGGAACTCCCAAGCACAGACTAGGTCTCCTCTTTCTAAAAACCAAGAAGGGAAGGAAAGAGAATAAAGTGTATTTAGAGTTGAAAGTTTAAAATCTCAACATGGTAGAATAAATGCTTTTACTCTAACTTGGACAAATGTTTATTGAACCTCTGCTTCTTGAATACCTCAAGTTACTGAGCCAGTACCGTTTTATTTTTAAATAGGTCTGACTGTTAGAACTTCTGCCCACTGGTCTTGGGTTCATCTTCTGTACCCACAAAGTAGATCTAATTTCTCTTCCACACATTTGAACATATTTTTCATGTGCTCTTCACTGAGTCTTCTTTTGCACATTTCCTCATGGTCTTATTTCAAGCCCTTCCCCATTCTGGTTTCTTTCTTCTTTGTGAACTCCAGTCTCTTGTAGGAAGGGAGTTTGAGGCTAGACAGTTGACATTTTGGAGCCTGACTTCAGAAGTGTGGGACTGGACTAAGACGTGCAGCCCACTTCAGGGACACATCCATGGGTCAGAAAGGAGATCCTCAGAGCCATTCAGGTGATATTTACAAGTAAAGATGCACTTACACAGCACACCATAAAATACACGTCACAAATTTGTTCATTTCTTTTCTTATTTAGTTATATTCATTACTACAGAGGCTATTGATAATAAATACCAAAAACATAAAAAAAAATTTATAGAAAAAAAAAACTGAAAATTCTATCTAGTTACTTAAAATTTTTCCTTGCAAATCTTTAGGAAAAGATCACTTTACTTTCTTCTGCAGCAGAAAGGCTGAGTCTATTTGGTCAAATAAAGAAAACTCAGCTAATTATTTCATCTATCTTCTTGCCTCCAGAATCCACTGCTAAGCCTGTGGATCTCCTGACCATACATCAACTTTAATTCCCTCTCAAGGGGGCTGAAGATAGGACAGAAAATGTCCAGGTTAAAGGGACAAGAAGACATAACAGCCTCAAAGGAGTCTAAGTCATAGTCAGAGAGGAGGGACGAGAACTGGATTATGTCACATGTCACTGAAGATGAGCCTCAAGTGAGCACACAACACACACACAATGATCAAGAAGCAGTCAGATGCTACAGAGAGATCACAATGCAGGTGGTAGTTGTTAGATGTCATCAAGTTGGTGGTAATGCAGTGACTCCATGCACAACAGAATGAAAAAGTCTGGTCCTGCACCACCCTCACAATCATTTTGTTTGAGCTCATTGTTTCAGCTACTGTGTCAATCCATCTCATTGAGGGTCGTCTTCTCTTTTGCTGACCCTCTACTTTACCAAGCATTATGTCCTTCTCTAAGGATAACATGTCTCTTCTCCAGGTCCCTCCTGATAACATGTCCAAAGTACATGAGATGAAGTCTCACCACCCTTGCTTCTAAGGAATATTTTGGCTGTACTTTCAAGACAGATATGTTTGTTCTTATGGCACCCCACAGTATATTCAATATTCTTTGTCAATACCGAAATTCAAAGGCATCAATACTTCTTCGGTCTTCCTTATTCATTGCCTAGCTTTCATATGCATGAGGCAATTGAAAATATGATGGCTTGGATCAGGCACACCTCACTCCTCAAAATGTCATCTTTGCTCTTTAACACTTTAAAGAGGTCTTTTGAGACACACTGGCCCAATGCAATATGTTGTTTGATTTCTTAACTGCTGTTCCATAAGCACTAATTGTGGATGCAAGCAAAATGAAATCTGTGACCACTTCAGTCTTTTCTCTGTTTATCATGATATAGCTTACTGGTCCAGTTGTGAGGATTTTTGTTTTCTTTATGTTGAAGTGTAATCAACAATGAGGGAGGAATGGGTAAATGTCACTCGACATGATAACTAGAAGTCACTGGTAACCTCTGAGAAACTACTTTCAATAGCATAATGGAGGCAGATTCAGTCAGTTAACAAAATTCAGAAACAGAAAGAATGCATCCTCCTTGTTCACTTACGATAAGGCAGAGAAAAAGTACCTTTTCATTCACAAAAGAAAGTTTAGATAGTCTCAAAAAAAACAAACTCACTGCTATCGAATTGATTCCAACTCATAATGACTCCCATTGCATTTCCAAGGCTACACATCTTTATGGAAGCAGACTGCCTCATCTTTCTTCCATGGAGCAGTTGATGGATTTGAACTATCAACCTTTTGGGTAGCAGCCAAAATACCTTAACCACTACACCACCAGAGCTCCCTTTAGATAGTCTAAGATGGTAAATGTATGTATTTCAGTAATGGATAAGATGTTGTTGTTGTTAAGTGCCGTCAAGTCATTTCTGACTCATAGCGACCCCATGCACAGCAGAACGAAACACTGCCCAATCCCGCGCCAGCCCCACAATCCCTGCTATACTTGAGCCCATCATCGCAGACACCGTGTCAATCCATCTCCTAGAAGGCCTCCCCCTTCTTTCGTCGACCCTCCACCCTACCAAGCATGACATCCTTCCCCAGGGAATGGTCCCTTCTGACAACATGACCAAAATAGGTGAGACCAAGTCTGGCCATTCTTGCTTCCAAGGAGCATTCTGGCTGCACTTCCTCCAGGACAGATCTCTTAGTTCTTTTAGCAGTCCATGGTACTTTCAGCATTCTTCACCAGCACCACAACTCAAAAGCATCAACTCTTCTTCGGTCTTCCTTATTCATTGTCCAGCTCTCACATGCATACGAGGCGACTGGAAATATCATGGCTTGTGTCAGGTGCACCTTACTCCTCAAGGAGATATCCTTGCTCCTCAGCACTTGAAACAGTTCCTTCGCAGTTGACTTTCCCAATGCTACACGTCGTCTAATGTCCTGACTGTTGCTTCTGTTGGCATCGATTGTAGAACCAAGCAACGTGAATTCTTTGACAACCTCAATTTTCTCTCCATTTATTGTGATGCTGCTCATTGGTCCAGTGGTGAGGATTTTTGTTTTCTTTATATTGAGACGTAATCCATACTGCAGATTGTATTCTTCAACCTTCATCAGTAGGTGCCTTAAGTCATCCTCACTTTCAGCAAGCAAAGTTGTATCATCTGCATATCTCAGGTTGTTAATGATTCTTCCTCCAATCCTGATACCACGTTTTTCTTCATATAGTCCAGCTTCTCGGATTATTTGCTCAGCATATAGACTAAATAAGTGTGGAGAAAGGATAGAACCCTGACGCACTCCCTTCTTGATTTTAAACCATGTAGTGTCCCCTTGTTCTGTTCAAATGACAGCCTCCTGGTCAAGGTACAGATTCCTCATGAGTACAATCAAGTGCTCGGGAATTCCCATTCTTCTCAATGTTATCCATAATTTGTCATGATCCACACAATCAAATGCCTTTGCATAGTCAATAAAACACAAGTAAACATCTTTCTGGTATTCTTTGCCTTGAGCCAAGATCCATCTGACAACAGCTATGATATCCCT